TAAAATGTTAGCAGCTCAGTGTGTTGTGCCAGCTGGGTTTAATTAGCTATTAGTGTATGGGCAAGCAACAATACCGGTAATATGGTTGATCTCATTTTAGTTTTGCGGTGATATGAAAATCCAATCATTACAGCTTAGCAACAGCAATCAGTTTTGCTGCTAAATAAAACACGATCAAGTACTACACTCTGCAGTCTGGAGTACTACAACCCCTGCAACACTTAGAAGTTGCTACTCCAATTAAAATGCTATGTAAAACCAGCAATTCAGGTTTTGATGTATACTCTGCTGATGGTTCAGGGAGTAAGAGAGTTACAAGAACAGTTGCAATGGCTGAAAAAAAAAACAGGAGTACAATTGTGTACTCGATAATTCAGAAGGTAATCTTGGAGTAGTATTCAATGGATATGGGGCCATTTAATGATATACAGACCACTAAATTATTCTTTAACTGTCAGTGTGAGTAAATTTCAAAGAAAAATTCAGTCCCAATTCCATTTCCTGGGCCTCAAAGGCACACTGGTATTTACCTCAGCTGCAATCCTTCACCTGCACAAGATAATCAATATTAGTGAGTCCTAAAATACTCCTGCAAGAAGATTGGGGGAGGGGGGAACATGTAAAGGAGCAAAATGCAGTTCCTCCCCACCCCCATTGAAAAGTCTCAGGGCAGCCTGATCACAGCAATGCTAACCAGTACTGCCCATTAATATGAAACCCTGTTTTCCATTAAACCATTGCCCTTCCACCAAGCAAATTTTCCCACCCCTGGAACTCATGCTTTAGGTTTAAAGAAGACCTGTGATGAGCTCGATGGGATTAGTTAACACTGCCCACAGTCTGGAGTTCGATCCTGAAGGGCTCAGGGTTGGCTCAGCCTTCCATCCTTCAGAGGTCGGTTAAATGAGGACCCAGATGGCTGGGGACAGTATGCTGATACTGTTAAAGCACCCAGACAGTGATTTGGGGCAGTATTTAAGTCTATTTTTTTTAAAAAAATATTAAATTGCATAGTAATACAATACACAAACTATCGGTTAGACAGTGTTAATATAAATACAGATTGAATACATTCTTAACTTATTGTCTTTCATATTTTACTCCCTTATTTAGATATCTAAGTATTTAAGTCTAAGTGCTGTTACTCTTGCTAGTTCACCGGTCGGATCGCATCAAGCTAGCCTGACTAGGTGTCTCAGTGGCTAAGACATTGAGCTTGTCGATCAGAAAGGTCGGCAGTTCGAATCCCTATTACAGGTCTCCTGCGTGAGCAGGGGGTTGGACTAGATGACCTCTAAGGTCCCTTCCAACTCTGTTACTGTTAACCCAAGCAGGTCTGAGGTCTGTTCGGCCACGCGGGGGTGGGGGTGGGGGTGGGGGTGGGGGTGGGGGGGGTGAGCTCGCCTATTTTGCCTTACCAGATCCTCCTCAATCCATCTCTGCGCCTCCACCACCCCACATCCTATCACCCGCCAGCTTCTCTCGCCAAGCTCGTGGCCAGCTCGGAAAAGAGAACACAGGACAAGCAATTGTTGAGAAGTGGGGGGGGGGGGGGGCCCCCCCAGGAGGGAGGGCACGCGTGGGGGTGAGGGCAGGTGTGAAATCCCGAGAGACACTTTCCAGCCGGCCGGGGGTCGGAACACTTCACTGGAGCCTTTTTCTCCAACGCGATCAGAAAATCACGCTTGCTCGCTCGCTCTCACACCCAAAGCAAAAACGCGCGCCTGCAATCCTTTCCCCGCCACTCCCAACCAGCTTCACCTTAACTGCACTCTCCGCGCTCCTCCTCCTCCTCCGCAGTTTCTCATCCCCGGACGCGCTGGACTCGACCGCCTTTCAAGCAGAGGAAGAGGCTGAGTCATGAGCTGCGGGCCCCGGGGTCCCGGGCCTGAAAGGGAGAGCCAGGGGGGGGAAAGGCTTTACTCTGTGTTAGCGAGCAGCCCGACTCCCGGGAAGAGTCGGTGCCGTTCAGGAGGAAGGCGCCCTCCCCCAAGGGTCCTCGTCGGACGCTGCCTTCCCACCAAGTGGCTTGGAACGACTTGCCTCCAAAAGTTGCGGATGCTCCAACCCTGGAAGATTTTTAAGAAGAGGCTGGACAACCGTTTGTCTGAAATTGTATAAGGTGTCCTGCCTGAGCAGGGGGTTGGTCTAGAAGACCTCCAAGGTCCCTTCCGACTCTGTTATTCTTGAACCAACCCACTATCTGGCTTTGAACGACGCCTATAACAATTGCAAAAGGGCTCTCACCAAATTACCCCTCCCCCCATCCCCATTCCCTTATTGCAGTGTGTATCAACCTTGGAAGCTTGAAGATGGGTGGACTAACTCTCCCAGACCCCCAGCCAGCAGCGCTGGCTGGGGGATTCTGGGAGTTGAAGTCCACCCATCTTCAAGCTTCCAAGGTTGAGAAACACTGCCTTATTGCAAGGGGAATGCTAACCAGTGCCAATGCCCACGTTCAACCTTCGACTGGTTAGGGCCTTGAGAGTGAACCCTGCCAACCGTATCTTAGTCCATCCACCAGCACGGGGGGCAAGCCACGGGGGTGGTTGGGGGCAGCCAAGGGCAGCTTTAAACCATTTGCTACCGATCGATCTCCAGGAAATTCCCTATAATCTCTCCAGATTGGAAAGACTGCTGTTGGTTCAGCTCCAGCCGGGATCTTAACTCCCCGAAATGGAGAGAGAGAGAGAGACACCCCCCCCTCCCCAACTACAAAATGATTCTGAGCCGGGCACCTGAAGCTGCCTAATTCTCTCAACGCGCAGCCTCGAGCGTCCAATTCAAGGAAAGCGAAGGCCCAGGAAAGCGAAGGCAACGTGGAGGAGCCATCCACGTTGATCTCGACCGAGAACTCCTCCCCTTCGCCCTCTTAACCCTTCCTTCACTTCGAGGACCGGGACACGCAGGGACGGGGCTCACGGCACCAAACCTGGAGGGAAAGGTTGGGGAGAATATTTACTTGGCCCCACCCGCTTCTCCCTTGGTCTTTGTAGGATTTGTGCTCCAGGGCTAAATTCCACTGAAGAAATCCTATCTGAGGGGGGGAAACCACAATATTGAAATATGATATTCAGAGATCATATTTAATACATTCCTACCTTTCACTGATTCATACATTCCTACCTTTCACTAATACAGTCATACCTTTTGCCTCTGTCGCCTTTAAGGAAAGGTAGCGGATCTATCCGATGTCAAAAGTTGAAGCACATTTTGGATGGCCCCTCTCCAATATCTGGCTCTTGGGGTAATTGCTCCAATTTTCATCCCATTCCCATTCCCGCTGGAATTCCCAATCCTTCCAACCCCCCCCCCCCCACTTCCCGCCACCCTCGACGAGCCCTAATCTGAATCCTTGATGTTGCTGCTCTACCTCAATCATCCCAGATTGGATCTGCTGGAAATCCAATCGCACGATCCCAATAAAGGAACTGGGAAATATGTCAGTTATAAGGCTGCCTTTAGAAAGAACGATTCTTCTGCCGTTCTGAGAAACTTACCAAAGAGCCATTGGTGTGTGCGGCTGAAGATGCCTGGCAAGGTTAGGCAGGAACTAAAAATTATTGGTGAGTAGATGGCCGAGAAGCAACCTAAAGGCGGAGAGCTCTACTGTAGGCATACTTGGAAATAAAGCCCGGAAAACATGGAGGGGAGGGGGGGTGGACTTTTGAGGAACTTCGCGCTCCGAGGGATGAGTTTGGTACAAGTAGCGCGCTAAAACTGCGCGATTTATTTAAAATAGAGTAGGGTAGAGTAGGTAAGGCAAGAGAAGAGAAGGAAGGGAAGGGTAGGGTAGGGTAGGGTAGGGTAGGGTAGGGTAGGGTAGGGTAGGGTAGAGTAGGATAGGAATAAGAAGAATAAGAATAAGAATAAGAATAAGAATAAGAATAAGAATAAGAATAAGAATAAGAATAAGAATAGAATAGAATAGAAATAAGAATAGAATAGAAATAGAATAGGAATAGGAATAGGAATAGAATAGGAATAGAAATAGAATAGAATAGAATAGAATAGAATAGATAGAATAGAATAGAATAGAATAGAATAGAATAGAATAGAATAGAATTTCTTTATTGGCCAAATGTGATTAGACACACAAGGAATTTGTCTCCGGTGTATAAGCTCACAGTGTACACACATATAAGAACAAAGTAATAGGTCATAGTTCATAAATCATAGTTAACATTTCTCAGCAACCTTGGCTCAAATCGGGCGCTCTGAGAATGGAGTCCAAGCACGAGTTCAGCCCTGACGCGTATATTCGAGATTTCAGGAGAATGGCTTCTTCCCACACTAATCTCCCCCACCCCTCCTCGCCTTAAAAGAAGCCCCGACTTCTTAAATCGGTTCTTTGAATCGAGAATTCAATGCAAACCACACGACTGGTTTAATCAAACCCCCGAAAGTCTGCGGTTCCGGGAAAGGGGTTTGTCCCGGAGGAAAACGTCTCTTCGGAGGGATTGAAGAAAGAAATGATCCCGAACGGAAGGGAGCAAACAGGCGAACCCACGCCGGGGATCCCCTCTAACTTCTCTCCCCCGTTACAAAGGCGTCCCCGTCCCCCCGTCCCCCCGGGGCGCGTGGGCGCCTACTCACCCGGGTGAAAATACTTCTTTTATTCCCGCTCTCCCGCCTTTCCACGGAATTCCCTTCCTATAATCCCCCAATCCTCTCCACGACCACCTCAGCTAAAACAGGATCGAGAAAGGCGGCCGGTGGGGGATGCCTGTCAACTCCGGCCCCCCGGAGTCCCTCGTGGGCTTTTTCCAAGCGGGAGACGCGCGCAGACTGTTGCAAGTGGGTTGAGAGAGAGAGAGGGAGAGAGAAACGGAGAGCGCAAAAGAGCAGGGAGGGAGGGAGTAGAGCTCACCCACCCGTGTTCCCAATTTACTCAGGCACAGCGAAAGCGGACAACAGGGGGTCGCGCGGAAGGAGGGATCGGCACAATTAACGGGGGAGAAAAAGAAGGAGAAGGAGAAGAAGAAATGCGAGGACTCTACCTTGATCCACAGACCTCATGATGTGGTGATAATGGACCAGCCGGCACGCGGTTCCTCTCTGCATTTGGATTTTTTTGGGAAAAAGGAAAAGCTACTCGGGGAGAGAAAAAGACGCCGAGGACGGGCGAAAGGGCGAGCTGACGGAGGTCTTCTTCATTCAGACCATGGTCGTCCCGCGCCCATCCGCCGCCTCTCGCTCGTCCCGCGTGGAAAGGATCCGCGCCGCGCGTGGGGGTCCTGCGGCCCGGAGGGCGCTGCTGCTGGATTTGCGTGCTCCGAGAGGTGGGTCACCCGAGAGGGAAAAGCCACTTCCTTCCCTGCTCTGAGTGTTTATAGTCTTGAATGCTGTAAAATAACGGGATTCCCTCACTGTTTCCTCCTGTTTATGCCCAGTACCATGGAAACCCCTGGATCGCCTCCATCGCCTGAACTGAGGGCTTTCCTGCAAACTTCCACACTCCGGAATCCATGACGTCTCCTTGCACCGGAGCCAAAAGGCGGCCCTGTGGCTTCCCTCTCTCTCTCTCTCTCACACACACACTCTCTCTCCCGCTCTCCTCTTTCTCTGGGCTGCGACACAAGCAGCCGATTGTTGAGCTGCGCCAAGGGGGGGAAGAAAAGCAGGACCAAAAAAATAATAATAAATAAAAGCCTGGAGAAGATGATGGATGCATGGACGGGCAGATTGAGAATAACGGATCTTACCTTTAGAACAATACCAAAACAAATAAATTAACATACACACACACACACACACACACACACAAACAAACACACACACACCAGGAGTGACAGACCACCAGAGCTGAGATTTAGCCAAAATTCCTCTTCATGGCTTGATTTCTTATAATCTCTGTCTCTCATCACCTTCAGTTCTTCTCATTTCCTCCCCCCCCCCAACCTGTCTTACCCTCAGAGCAACCTTGCAAGGGAGGCTGAATTGGAAGAACAGTGACCAATGTATATTTATTTATTTATTATTTATTTATTAGTTTGATTTATATGCCACCCTTCTCCGGAGACTCAGGGCGGCTTACAATGCATTAAGGAATAGCCTTCATACTTTTGTATATACCTGCTTAGTAGGGCTTTTGCCCCCCCCCCTAAGCAGTGTTCTATTTTATACAAAGTCAGCTTATTGCCCCCACAAACCGGGTCCTCATTTTACCTACCTCGAAAGGATGGAAGGCTGAGTCAACCTTGAGCCTGGTGAGATTTGAACTCGCAGTAATTGCAGGCAACTGGCAGCTAAGTGCTACTTTAACAGCAGTTTTTAGTCCGCTGCACCACCAAGGCTCTATACAGGGAAATATTCCCTAATGAGCAAGTATATGAAACTGGATCTTAATGGTAATAATGCAAGAATGTCTTTTTTCTACCTGGTTTGAATTAATGTGAAAAACCAAAGGATGTGTGCATCCAGTTTTGGTCACCACACTATAGAAAAGATGTTGGGACTCTAGAAAATGTGCAGAAAATAGCAACCAGGTTGATTAGGGGTCTGGAGACTAAAACATATGAAGAACGGTTGCAGGAACTGGGCCTAGCTAGTCTAGTGAAGAGAAGGACCAGGGGAGACATGATAGCAGTGTTCCAATATTTGAGGGGCGGCCACAGAGAGGAAGGGGTCAAGCTATTTTCTAAAGCACCTGAAGGCCAGACAAGGAATAATGGATGGAGTCTGAACAAGGATAGATTCAACCTGGAAATGAGGAGGAACTTTCTGACAGTGAGAGCAATTAACCAATGGAACTGGAATGGGAGCTTCACCACTTGAGACTTTCAAGAAAAGATTGGACAGTAATTTGTCAGAAATGATATTTGGTCTCCTGCTTGAGCAGAGGTTGGACTGGATGACCTATTGGGTTCCCTCCAACTCTGTTAATCTAATCTAATCTAATCTAACCTAATCTAATCTAATTCTAAATCTTTATTTATTTATTGATTGATTGATTGATTGATTGATTGATTTGATTTGATTTGATTTATATGCCGCCCTTCTCCAGAGACTCAGGGCGGCTTACAATGCGTTAAGCAATAGCCTTCATATTTTTTGTATATTTATACAAAGTCATCTTATTGCCCCCACAAACCGGGTCCTCAATTTACCCACCTTAGAAAGGATGGAAGGCTGAGTCAACCTTGAGCCTGGTGAGAATTGAACTCACAGTAATTGCAGGCAGCTGGAAGCTAAATACTACCTTTAACAGTAGCATTAGTCTGCTCCACCACTCAGGCTCCTGAAAGGCAAATCTTGGTGCCTTTACATGAGAAAGAGGCCCACTGAGTTCAGTGGGAGTCTCTCCCAAAGTCTAGGCTAGGGCATAAACAGGTTGTTCGCTTTGACCTATTAAATAGGGCTAAAATGGAATTAATTGAGATCTAAGACATGGAGAATTTCTGACTGGTTTGGGATGGAAAGCAAAAAAAATATTGCAGAGAATTTTGAAGGAGAAAGGGGTAAATAGAAATCTATCGCTACTAAATATTATCAGGAGCTGAGATGTTAATTTTTGGGATCTAATGGCATTGATATCAGATATTCAGCCAATATCTATCAGTGGGACAAGCAGAAGCTTGGGGTTGTCCTGAGAAATCTGCTTAGTTGGCCACATGGAATGGGGGAGCAGCCATAATCTTGGATCAGATCATGCCCAAATGGTCTCCATGATATATGGAGAGTTAAGAAAGCTAAAGAGGGCTAAGAAATACCCACAGTACTACAGGGGAAGATCACCCCTATAGCCTCTATTAAAGCTTACCTTATGGCTCTAAGGCAGAGGTCTTCAAACTTGGCAGTTTTTAAGATTTGTGGACTTCAACTCCCAGAATTCTCCAGCCAGCTATTGTGGGAGTTGAAGTCCACAAGTCTTAAAGCTTAAAGTCTTAAAGCTGCCAAGTTTGAAGACCTCTGCTCTAAGGGATGGTAAAACATGTTTCTTCACCCTTCTTCATTCAGCAGCTCTGTTTTGGATGACCCATTCCAACAATTGTATGCACCACATGGAGTTGAACAAAGTAAAAGCAGAATATAAATCTAATGATTAATTCACTCAGATTTGCTCTACATTAGACACCAGTTTTGAAGTCAAGACTTGACATGACAAGAACATGATGACAGTCTGAAGGGAAGTCTTTAGAAGAACCTTTTGATTCAGTAACAGATGCTCCTTGGCTACAGTTGTCATCTAATCACCAAGCAGGAGTTATAAATCCAAGGGAAGCCCTACTGTTAACATCACTCTTGCACTGGGAACTTCTACCCCATCCAAGTGTATAGTTGGTCCTCTCACTCTTGGTAGGTTTGAGTTGGAGTCAGATCCTTCCCAGCCAAGTCTACACAGCCTCTATCATTTGTCTTTACTGCATTTTATGTACATGTCATTAAATGAAAATCAAATGTTGTTTTTGCCCAATTCCAATTTCTTCACCCTGGTCCCATGTGCTTTCTGAGAGCACATCTGGGAATAACACTTAAAATTTAGAACAGAACAGAACAGAACAGAACAGAACAGAATAGAATAGAATAGAATAACAGAGTTTTAAGGGACCTTGGAGGTCTTCTAGTCCAACCCCATGCTTAGGCAGGAAACCCTACACCACTTCAGACAAATGGTTATCCAACATCTTCTTAAAAATTTCAAAGATAGCCTGTATTTTCTGGTCCCTGGAAGAATGAAATTCCCAAACAGACATAGCAGGACATTCATATTAAGAGAATTTCTATGTAATGCGTTAATATAATTGTATGAATGTGCATACAGTTCTTTTGCTACATTTATTGAGGATTTATATTCTCAATATAAAATATTGAGATTACTTGATGTTGATGAATTGACTTAGTGAACCATAATGGTTGCTTATGGAATCTGATATAAGAATGGAATGAGAGTCTTATGGCCATCTCCAAACATTTAATTTTAAAAAATCAGGATGGGTAGGAATCATTAAACCGAGTTGCAGCTGCTGTGTTTAAATAATATTATGCAGAAGAAATGAATAATATGGCTTGAAACCACTTGTAATACACATGAAGATAATGCAATATTTAGAGTATTAGAGAAAGCTGGAAGGGTCCTATTGAGATAACCCTGTTCCTGGTGACCTTGGACCACACACAGCCTTAAGCTATTTTACAGACTTGTTGTAATGATAAGTTGGAAAGGAGAGAATTTGGTACACTACTGTCAGCTGTCAGAGTAAGAGATGATTTAGGTTAAATAAAACTAGATTTTTGGACTCAACTTTGAACCTGACCCTTTGCGATACCTTGGAACTGCTAGTCTCTATCTGAATTACCGCCAGGATGAGTGTTAACTGTGGATGCTCTGGGCCATCTCAAAAACTGCCATTCAATACACAAACTGCTGTTAGGGTCAGAGGTGGCCATGGGAATAAGCAGAGGCTGAGTCATCTTCTGTTCATGAACTTGGACTCCAGTTCAACAATACAGCTGGCTGGCATAAAACAAGACCTTTCCATCTTCCCTCTCCTCCGTTTTTGAATTGCATCTCTGGAATTTCTGTTCCTGGATTTGTTATGGTAAGGTTTGTATAGTAGCAACTGAGAGCAAGAGAGGGAAACACATTCCCCCACCCCCTTCTGCCCTGTCACTCTTGGAAACACTTAGGAGAAAATATACTGGTGCCTTGGGGCACATGTTACATAACACAATTTCTTTGGAACCTGCTCCAAGCAGCCAGTGAGTGCTCAACTGGAAAAGAAAGTGGGACATGAACCTTCAATGAACAAGATATGAAAGACAGAAATACTTCTGTCCCAAAGGGAGAACTAAGAGCTGTCTTTTCAACCTGCCCTTGACATTACAGCTGTTGCTTCCTAAAAGATGAATGTTGAAGATTACTTAGTTATATCTTTTTTTACATGGTAGACTTTTCCTCACAACTGAGCTGAAGTAGTAGATACATACCCTTGACATAGCTCAAAACAATGCCAACATAAGATGTGCCATCACATTGCCACACCCAGCTCTTAACTCTATAGTGTCTGTTCCGAGTAATTGTCCAAAGGCATTGTTCTGATTTGTGAGTGTTCTCACACTTGCTATAGGCAAAGGTAGGTTCTGCTTTGGCTTTCAAGATCCATCAGAGGTGTCACTAGAGAAGGAATGAGAGGTGCATCTGCCTTCTGGATTCTACCTGCACACTTCTACGTTGGTTTGTTTATACCTCGTCTCACAGTTTATTTAGGCATTTCCCAAGTTGAAGTGATGACCACCATCTTGATTCCCTACAAATCCCAATGCCAAAAGATCTAATTCACATTCATTTGAAGAAATAGGGCTTATTTATTTAATTTTTATCCCGACTTTATCACTTTAAAAATAACTGAAGGTGGCAAACAGACATAATACTCCTTCCGCCTCCTATTTCCCCCACCTATGAGGTGAGTGGGTTGAGAGTGACTAGCCCAGAGTTGTCCAGCCGGCTTTCATG